CCGAAACCTAAAATACAATAAAATAAATAAATGGAAAAAAAAAAAATAAAAATAAAAATAAAATAAATAAATAAATAAATAAATTAAAAAAAAAATTTAATTAAAAAAAATAGAAGTTCCATTTGACCCAGCAATTCCATTATTGGGTATATATCCAAAGGATTATAAATCGTTCTATTATAAACACACATGCACATGTATGTTCATTGCGGCACTGTTTACAACAGCAAAGACCTGGAACCAACCCAAATGCCCATCGATGATAGACCAGACCAGGAAAATGTGGCACATATATACCACGGAATACTATGCAGCCACAAAAATAGAAGAGTTCATGTCCTTTGTAGGGACATGGATGAATCTGGAAACTATCATTCTCAGCAGACTGACACAAGAACAGAAAATCAAACACCACATGTTCTCACAGGCGGTTGTTGAACGATAGAACACGTGGACATAGGGAGGGGAGCATCACACACTGGGGTCTGTTGGGGGAGACTAGGGGAGGGAAAGGGAGGTTGGGGAGGGATAACATGGCGAGAAATGCCAGATGTAGGTGATGGGGGGATGGGGCAGCAAACCACATTGCCAAATACGGACCTATGCAACAATCCTACATGTTCTGTACATGTACTCCAGAACCTAAGTGTGATATATATATATAAATACAAACTTCCAGTTTTTTAAAAAAAGTTACCTGCTGACACAGCGCCGATAATTGTCAAAATATATTCTTCCTCTCTCATAGGCTATAGGTGACCTGGAATGAGTTGTCCAGACATTCTTAAATTTAGTACTTTCCTAAAAGACACAAAAAATTTTCGTTTAGGAAAGAACTTAGGCTTCCACTGTGTACCAATTTTAAGTTGGATTTTAACTTTTCAAAGTAACATAATCTCACCTACGTTATTTAAAAACATTATTTTGAATCCTTCCTTCACTCTGCCCTCATGTTTTGGTTTAATGAGGTGACCAACTTTTAGAATAATTGTTTGCAGGGAAGACATAAGAAGCATAAAACTAAAAGTATCTGGCAGCCCCATAACCACCTACTGACTAATCCCCCAGATTCCGGGACTTGTATCCTCCTCCCCATCGCCTGTGACCCTATTGAAAAGAGGGGCCACAGTGCGTTAAAACCGCACCCCCACAGGAGGCTGGGCCGTCAGGTGCCCGTAGCCCTCCGTTCCGCCTGGGCCGGCGCGCGGTCACCTGGCACACCAGCGCCCGTAGGATGCCCAGGTTGGTCCTCTGTACCACGCCTGCGTCGCGCGAGAAGCAGCCCAGCGCCCGGCGACTCAGCCGGCTGCACACGTTGGGCTTCCGAGTCGGGCCCATGGAGGCGCGGGCCGGGCGCTGGATAGGCTGGGCCGCAGAGGGGCGCGCCCCACACTCCCGTGCTGGGCAGCCGCCGCTGCCTCCGAATTTTGAGGCCCCGACTTCCCCGGGGGAGCCCAGGAAAAGCTGACACGGGGAGCCGGGCCGGGAGCACCCTGCGACGGGGCTAGGGAAAGCAGAGCCACTGCACCGGCAGAGCGCGGAGAAGAGGGAAGAAGCACTCCCTTCTCGACCTGCTCCTCACAGGCTCTCTGGCCGCAGACAGTGCGACGCTCCGCTACTGCGCCGCCGGCCGGAGCCCCTCTTTCACCGGGAAATGTAGTTCCCAGTGCCTCGTGAGGCAGTCTGGCTTCTCCCAGGAACTACAATTCCCATCAGGCGGCGGGGAGCGAGGGCTTCCCGGCCCCGCCTCTGCCGCGTGGCCCCGCCTCCTCCGGCCCGCGGAGACTGCGCTGTCTGGCGGGCGCGCTTTTCCGGAGCTACGCCTGACTCGCTGGACAGAGCTCAGAAGGCGTGGTGCTGCTTCCTCCAGCTCTCCGCTGCGTATTTGCGCCCTCCATTTAGGAATCTGTCCCTCACTGTCCTGGTACCCCCACGCCTCTCAGCCCCTGACCTTCGCCTTCAGAGGTTCTGGCCAGGTGCCGGACGGGGCGCTGTGTCAAGGGCGACCCCTCAGAGCAGCGTCCTGTGCTAAAGGTACGCCCCGCGGCATTCTCTTCAGCCGCACGTTGGCTGAGGGGGACGGTAAACTGTGCTTTTGTATTAGGACGATGCTGGCTTCGCATTCACTCTTAGTTTCACCTTCCAAGCTCGGATTGAGTTACTCTTTCCCGGAGGCCCGTCCTTTGGTGTCCTGCGGGGACACTGGGTGGTTTTGCGATCATAGCTGCATTTTCCTTCCTCTCTCCTCCATTCTTTTTTTCTTTATAGGGAATAAAATATGAGATGCTTACATTATTATTGGACGGCCTAAGATATTCCTCGTCGACATCTCTAAGTAAAAGATATACTTTGTTAACTAGTCCTGCCGGTATGTTCAGAGTTCCTAGCACACTAAATTTTCAGCAGCCGTGCACCGCATGTGTCCCACCGCCTTGCTGTAAGTCCCTTGAGGGTGGTGTCGTTGTATCTCCCACGTGGACTTGAGCATGCTTGTACATAGGGTGCTCAAAGAAAGCGAGCGATCGCATCCGACTGGCAGAGCAAAAAGTACAGTACAGCAGGTCCTCGAATCGCATTCTTTCGTTCAATGTCATTTTGTTATAACTTGATGAGAAAAAAAAAATCAGTTCCTACCAGGGAATACTGTTTGTGTGGAGGTTGCCCCTTCTCCCCACGTCTGCATGGGTTTTCACCAGGTACTCCAGGGTACTGCGTCCCACATATCAGTGCAGGCTGGGTGAATTGGCCTGTCTGTGTGGTTCCTAAGTGTGGGTGTGAGTGTGCCCTGCGATGGAATGTCCTAGTGTCCAGGGTTGGTTCCCACCATGCACCCTGAGCTGAGGGGATAGGCTCCAGCCACCCTCTACCCTGAACTGGAATAATTGGGTAAATAACTATCTTACTTGTTTTTATTAATCTTCCTTAAATGTATGTATAGCTTCAATTTGTTTCAGTGTTTACTATTAGAAGTGTTTTGGTCTTTATTTAGAAGTTTGGTGATGTTTTTGTGACTAGAAATATATGTTATAGGAACTTCACTCTTGTTTACATCAATTGGCTTCTGGTAAAAAATGGCTTTGTTATATGTCATTTTGCTTACAGTCACAGTTTCCAAGAATCTGTTGATGACGTTAGGTGAGTACTTACAGTACTGGTGAATGTGTTGGGTCAGAATTTAAGTGTTTAGTAAAAGTTGGCCATATCTCTTTTTAACCCTGCTGAGTTTCCTTCAGGGCCCGAGCTTTTGCTGATTTTTCATGACTTATTTACAGCATATGATAGAGTGCTTTGTATATTTTTAGAGAGTGCTACAATAGTTAATTTGGTAATTCATGAATGCAGCTGTCACTGAGAAAACTGGAACCCAGAAAAGATAACTGGGTTTTCTTTGGCTTAAATGAAATTCAAATCATTGCTGAATTGGATTCATCAGCTCTCTCATTTCTTCTTCCTCTTTGCCCCCACTTGTTTGTCTTCCTTCCTGTGGTCTTTATTTCACCACCAAGTCATCACTAAGGGAGAATCAGCCTTGATGCCTTGCTGTTGCTCACCCACAACCAAGTCCTTTTGATTCTCTTATCCATCTCATGCGCATTTTATCTAAGTAACTTAAAGTTACTAATAATGTGATTTTTTAATCACATTATTTAGTAGCCTCCTAATTATTCTTTCTGCTTTACTTGTGACACAGGATTGTGTGTGTGTGTGTGTGTGTGTGTGTGTGTGTGTGTGTGTGTTGCTTTGCCAGCTGGAGATCTCTGCAGCCAGAGACCTACCTGGGCCTTGCTTGGTCTGGGCTTGCCACAGGAGGTGCCTTGCCAGCTGGCCCTCTGGGCTACTCCTGGCTTGCACTCAGGCATGGATCCTGTGGCCACCTGACGCAGGCTCAGCCCCTGGCGGGAGAGAGTGTCTGAGGAAGCGAGTGTGCAGTCATGTGGTGTCCACTTGGTTGCTCCAAATGCCAGCACAGGAGTGGGCTCCATGCAGGGCTTGCAGCTGAAACAGGCATGTCACAAGTGACTCCCACAGTGGTCTCTGGCATCCAGACTTGGGGAAGGTGGTAACCAAACAGGGGTGCCTGCAACCCAGAAGCCCCAGAGGTGGGTATTGCAGCGTGCTAACAGCCCTTTTAGACCCACTATCTGCAGCCCGATGAACAGGGGCATGTTAACAGCTCTATCAGTCCTGTTACCCTGCTCCAGCCCACAGCTCTGGGACTGGCCTTGCCCCCCGCCCTGCTTCCTGTTGTGTGGGGTGGCCACCAGTGCCGCTGGTGGGGCAGAGAGCTACAGTGTTATTGATTTCTTCGAACCCATGTTCAGTGGCATCCTGAGTTCTTGTCCTGCGTCCAAGGATAAGATTAACAACCAGAGGGTGAGGAGGGCAGAGGAGTTTTATTGAGCGACAAAATAGCTCTTGATGCAGGAATTTTGCTCCTCAGCTCAGCTAGGTCTGACTTTTTGTCTCATAACCAGGAAGAATTAGGTGTGTGGAGAGTGAGTAGAGCAGAATTTATCAAGTGAAAGGAATCTCTCAGCAAAAAAAAAAAGGGGGTCCTGAAAGCAGGTTCCTGGTTGCCCTCTTTACAGTTGAATACCTGGGCTTAAGGTGCAAATTTTGGAGGCTCCACCCCATCCTTCCAATGTGCTTGTGGGCTCTTAGTCTCAGCTACTCCACATTGATTATTTCCCTTACTGCACATGTGTTAAGGAATGGAATTTTCTACTGTGGGCATGTTTAGGCAAGCCCCCTGTGCAAGGTCCCTTATCTACACAAAACATCTGGTGTAAGCACTTGTGAGTCAGGTCATAGGTTCTTCGGGGACTCTTCCCTTACTGTTTGCCTAAAGCAAGCTGGCTAACTCCTTTTACTCTCAGCTGAGGGGGGACACGAGGGTGGTCCCCCACCCAAAGTGGGGTGGCCTCTTCCAGAATGGCTGGGTCCAGGGGCTTCCAGGGGTTCAGAATGGGGAAGTGCATGCTGATTGGTTTGTGAGTATGCACAAGAGGCTAAAACAAAGGCACCACTCAAAAGTGGGCACAACAGTATAAAAAACAAATTAGAGGAGGGTGGGTATATGTAAAATGTGTAAAGGATAGGGATCAATCAGAGAAAAGTATGCCAAATGGGAAGAGCATTTCTCAGTCTGGTCCATAGATTTATCAAGGACATGTAGCTAGGCTTTAAGCTGTCTTTGGCTTGAAGGTCGGGTTTCACTGAGGACCCAACCCCACCTGCCTAGGATTTGTCTCCCTCCATACTGCTGCCAGACTAATTTTCCTAAAGCACAAGTTGTCACTTGGCTGTTGCATTCTTTCAGCAGCTCCCAACACCCGTACCAGAATTTATTTATTTATTTATTTATTTGAAATGCAGTCTTGCTCTGTTGCCCAGGCTGGAGTGCAGTGGTGCGATTTCAGCTCACTGCAACCTCCACTCGCAGCTTCAAGGGATATTCCTGCCTCAGCCTCCCCAATAGCTGGGATTACAGGCACACACCATCACACTCAGACAATTTTTATATTTTTAGTAGAGACAGGGTTTCACCATGTTTGCCAGACTAGTCTTGAACTCTTGACCCCAGATGATCTACCCACCTTGACCTCCCAAATTGCTGGGATTACAGGCATGAGCCACTTCCCCCAGCCTATAGCAGAATTTCTTGCACCCAAGTAAGATACCCAGGATCCTCCATTGTTAACTTAAAATCTTTTTAGTATGTTACATATATGCAAAGATAAAATTAGGTATAAACTTCTTATGTTGTCTCTTCCTTTTTTTTTTTTTTTTTTTTTTTTTTTTTGTGTGTGTGTGTGTGTGTTGTATCTTTTATATTCTGATAACACCCAAACATCTACAAGTTAAATGAAACAAAACAATAAAACCAATAAATTCAAATGATTNTTTTTTTTTTTTGTCTTTTTGATTTGTGTGTGTGTGTGTGTGTGTGTGTGTTGTATCTTTTATATACTGATAACACCCAAACATCTACAAGTTAAATGAAACAAAACAATAAAACCAATAAATTCAAATGATTGTGAGCAATGAGGCTTTAGCTGGACCTGAAAAGCTTTAAAAGTGGATGTTTTCTGTGGCATACCTTCCTTACAGAAAGGCCTGTCCATATTGCCCTTGCGTTGGAGAGATTACTTGATGTCTTCACCACTTTTCTTTATTTAAATCACCACAAAACCTTCCTTTGTTCAATATTTCATGGTTTCATTTGTCCTTCAGTTGACAAACAACATAATTTACATACAGTAGTCCCCATTTCATTCTCATTAACATATACCAATGACAAATGGCACCACTTGTTTAACAATACACTCCTAAACACACATATGTGAACTCAAATCTTGTGATAGCACTCAATTAAGAAGTGGTCATTCAGATGATCCAGAGTGTCCTTTTGTTAATATTCTTTTTTTTGTAGATTATTATCAAATTGAAATTGAAAGGTTTCTTCTACAGAAATCTCATAGCCTTGAGGATACATGTACAAAATCCCTAGGGGTTCACATAGTTACCTTATAATACAAAATCTGAATCTCTTTGGTTAGAATGCCTGGCACTTCATTATCTTCACCTTGCCCACATTTTCAGCCTCATCTCTTTGACCATCCCTCATGTTTGCTTTTGTTGTTCTGACATGTTTGTGGACTTTCTCAAGCCAATGTGCCTTTATATTTGGGATTTTCTTTATCTGAAGCTGTCTTTCCTCTCCTCTTATAAGTTTTATCTCAAGACTCATCCCAGGTATCACAGCTCCACTGAGACCCTTTTCCTAACTCTTCCAGCTTGGTTAGTAGTCTTTTCTGTGCTTCCATGTTACTTTGTACACTGTTGTGGCACTCTATTAGAATTGTCTATTAGAATTGTGATTTGTCTTCCCAACTAACCTGGGCAGAAACTGAGTAGTACTATAATTCTGCCTCTAGGCTGGGCGCAGTGGCTCACACCTGTAATCCCAGCACTTTGGGAGGCTAAGTGGGGTGGATCACGAGGTCAAGAGATTGAGACCATACTGGCCAACA